CATCTAACATCAGCTACGATATCCCTAGTACCACACCCCTTATAAACCCAGCCTGGACTTCTGGCAGTTCTCTGCTTATGTGCTGTTCCAGTTGTTTTTGGATAATCTTCAGTAGAATCTTGCTGGTATGTGAAATCAATGATATTGTTCTATAGTTTCCACACTCCATTGGATCACCCTTCTTTGGAATGGGAACAAATATAGATCTCTTCCAAGAAAAAGAGTTAGGAAATATAATTTTTTAAAAGATGATTTTTCAAGGGAGCTCTGGTGGCCTAGTGGCAAGAAGTTGCACTGCAATTCCAGAGGTACACAGTTCAAATCCACCAGATGCTCTGCTGGAGAAGGAGGGGCAATCTCCTGTACCAGTCAGATCTGATTTGACGGTACACACACACAAAATTTAAAAAAAAAATTATTTTTCCAAGATAGCACAACATGAACATTGTAAAGAATCATCACAGTGATTTGAAGAAGACAAAGTATTTAAAAGTCCTTGAATTCATAATGATGCACAAGAAGTAACAGAAGAGACACTCAGAGGGAAAAAATACAGTGAAAAAAAATGCATTGGTCATCATTATAGGTAACTAGGAAATTGACTTCTTGTTCTGAAAATTTAGAGATCTAAAAAAATAAAGTTTTTACCTCTCCTTTCTGGTTTGAAATCAACAGTTACAGAAAATTTTCACTGATTATGGAAGGATTTAGAAAATCCTAACTTGTCAGCCCTTTTCTAATTTTTTAAAAAATTTATTATAGAATTAGATAAGGAAGTGTTGGAGAATATTAACATGTAAGAACTCAGGTTAATGCAAAAAAGTGGGTAAACCAGATACTCCAACTCCACTAAGGTGAACTTTGTTGGCATAGAGTTATGTGTTGGGTTGCTGACTGGTTGGTTGATGGTCCCAATCAGCCAGGTGCTCGGAGAGCGAACAATGAGCCAGCCTCTTCCCACTAAGGTTCACAGCACTGGATCCCTGATGGAAATGGTGCCACATCAGTGCATTTGTGGTTGGTTGTTGTTGGGTTTTTTTTTTTAAGATACAATACATAGTATTGGTTTCTTAAGAAATATTCTTGCCAGGAAGGTGAGCCTCTTGATACCAAGAAGAACAGACAGATCGAGGATGTAAAACATACTATGGAACAACTGACCCAGCTTTTCCCATTTACATCCATGGTATTCTTCTTTTTTTAAAAAAAAAAAAACTACACTACAAACAAATTAATAGGGAGACTTTGTATTCTGGTTTGAACAACCAACTATATAAGAATTTTTGAAACAGTAAAGAAAATGTGAATAATGTACAAAATGTTATGTGTAATAATGAATTGGACTGATGTAAGAAAAATACTCATTTAGAGATTCATAATTATGTAGGGGTAAATTTGTATAATTATTATTTGCTTTAAAGTATTTAAAGGAAAAAAGAATAATTGAAGTAAGTGTAGCAGAATCTTTGTAATGATGTTTTTAGATATTATTAGCCTTTGAATTGGCCTGATTCATGGTGACTCAGATACAGTGGAATCAAATACTTCCAGGTCTGGCTGTATCCAAATGATGGATTCCAGATCAGACCGTTGAGATCCATCAAGTTTTTACTGGCTACTTTTTCTTAGTCCACTCAAGCCTCTATATGAGGGCTCATTTAAAAAATACTTGTATGTGCATAGGAATCTCTTAGAAGGTCCCGTTCATTTATTTTATCCTCTCCTGGTTGTAGATTTTTCAGGATGCTTGGAAGACTGTTTATGTTGTGGATTAAGACTTCTAGAGTTCTTTCAAGCTTTTCTTTAATGAAGTTTATAGTCCTTGGTTTTAGTCCTAGGTCCATGATCCATTTTGAGTTGGTTTTTGTGTATGGAGTGAGGTGTGGATCTTGCTTGAATTTTCTACAGATACTTTTCCAATTTTGCTGCATCATTTGTTAAAAAGGCTTTTATTTTCCCACTTAACTGATTTCATCTCCTTGTCAAAAATCAGTTGACCATAGGTAGATGGGCTGATCATTGGATTCTCAATTCTATTCCATTGATCTATGTGTCTGTCATTGTACCAGTAACACTTTGTCTTGACCACCACCGTAGGATTTGAAATCAGGGAGTGAGATGCCTCCTGCCTTGTTTCTCTTTTTAAGGAGTGCTTTGCTTATTAGGGGCCTCTTTCCATTCCAAATGAAATTGGAGATTGCCTTTTCCATCTTACTAGAGAATGGAATTGGTATCCAACAGGGTAAAAAGGGAAACCACAGACTGCGAAAAAAAAAATTTGGTAATGACATGTCATATAGGGACTTTTATCTAGAATTTATAAAATACTCGAGCACCACAACAAGATAAAGATCAACAATCCAATTGAAAAATGGGCACAGGATATGAATAGACCACCAAAAAGGCATTCAGATGGCAAACACACACATGAAGAAATGTTCAAAATCCTTAGCTCTAAGAGAGATGCAAATCAAAACAACTATGAGATATGATCTCACCCCAGTAAGAAGAGCAAAATTTAACAGATCAGCAAACATCAAATGCCGGCAAGGTTGCGGAGAAACTGGAACCCTTATTCACTGTTGGTGGGAGTGTAAAATGGTATGGAAGGCTGTATGGCACTTTCTCAAAAAAACTGCATAGAAATACCATTTGACCCAGCAATTCCACTACTGGGAATATACTCTAAAGAAACCATAAATGCCACCCAAGCAGATATATACACACCCATGTTTATTGCAGCTTTGTTCACAATAGCAAAGGGTTGGAAACAAACCAAGTGCCCATCAACAAACCAATGGATAAAGAAGCTGAGGTATATTCACACAATGGAAGATTATACTGCATTGAAATACAAAGAACTCATGAATTATTATACAAAATGGGTGACCCTGGAGGATATTATGCTGAGTGAAATATCTCAGTCACAAAAGGACAAATACTGCATAGTGTCACTGTTGAAAAATGGGACTGACATTGGGGTTGCGGGGAGACAGAGAGAAGGAATAAATAATGTATACTGCACTGAAGCAGATGAGGAACTGTTTAAAAGTGATATATGATTAGGTATTATTATCATGACAGGAATCCAGAATGAAGGCTGCATAGTGGAGCGGCCCTGGGAGGGAGGGATTGTATAACAATGAAAGAATGGTTTTGTTTTTTTTTACTTTTCAAAGAGAAGAGTGAATTGGGTGGGAGGTGTGGGCAGGGAGAAAAACGCAACAATGAATGAATGGAAATTCAAAGTCTCTGTAAAACATTCATTAAAATTAATAATTAAAAAAATACTTGTAAGATCACATTTACATCAACTGTAAGTAGAAAGCAGGGAAATAAGTAAAAATAAGCAGTGCAGGTAAACAGAGTAAATGTCTGACCTCACAAAAAAATCTGAGAATCTTAGTGACAGGAGCAGCTCTGTATGTTAAACTCTGTGCTACCAGGACCCCATGGGAACTAGTCTCTCTCTCTTTCCTTTATATTGCATCAGAACCAATTCATAGCTGTACTTTGGACATGTTGTAAGAAGGGGCTGGTCCTTAGAGAGGGACATTATGCTTGGGAGGGTGGAGGGACAGCGCAGGAGAGGAAACCTCTCTATGTGGTGGATTGATTTCAGTGACTGGGGTAATCGGGATGGGTGTGTCGGAGACAGTGTGATTGGCACAGGACAGAGCAGGGTTTAGTGCTGTTGCATGTACATAGGGTCACTGAGTTGCAAGTGACTCGATGGCACCTAACAACAGCAAAGGGATGTTCTCACTATATCTTGCCATATGAAAGCAAAAACATTAGAAATAATTCCATCATGTTCCCTCTCTAGAGATGAAGAAGGAATCAGAAGAATGGTAATAGTAGTTGCTATATCCCAACTTCTAGTGGCTTAGTGTTGAGGAGTTGTGCTGCCAACCCAAGAGCATGTGGTTTGAATCCACCAGCTGCTTCATGCGGAAAAGATGGGCAATCTCCTCTCATACTGAAAACCCTTGAGAGGGTCAGTTATGAATCAGTTCTAACTCAATGGTGTACAACAGCAACAACAAAAACATATCCCAACCAGATGGATTGAATAGTGACCTTCTCACAGCAGAAATTGTGAGGATGGCGCCAGATAGGCCAGGGCTCACTGTTTGAGATTGATATGAGTTGTTGGCAACTAACAACAACAGCTCATACTAGTAGAAACTAAGCATTCCATGCCCCTTCCAGCTCTTCGTCTTATTTTCACAGGGGCTGACTGACTTGAGCCTAAAAGTGTTACATGCTAATTTAACAAAAACAGCTCATGAAAATAGACTTTAATCACATAGGGCAGTATTTTAAAGAATTTTAAATATATCTTTATTATTTATTTGATCTTACATTTCAAATACACTAGATGATCAGAAAAAGGTTTCCTCACAAGATACTCACGGTACAGTAAGGTTATTTTCACTAAGGGGAGGTAGACATGAATCAATAGGTTTCTTTTCCACTGCAGTGACCAGGGCTTACTTAATGTTGACTCAGGCGCACTCTGGTGGCAAATACCTTTGCTTGTAAAGTTTTACTTGTTTTTGCTGTTCTGCTTCATGGATGCAGCTGTGTTCTTGTCCATAGGACCTTCCTAACTTATTGCCACATAGATACTTTCGAGCCAGGTAATCCCTGTACCAAAGTCTCCTTTATCTGAATGCTCTGCTCTTTTAATCAGTATCTACATCCCCACCCTACCCTCTTCTGTCCCAGCTTGCAGATATTCTTGGAATTCAAACGCAAAACCCTCCTCCTGCTCCTGACTCCAGGGGAGACAAAGTTCAATAGTGTGGCTTTTCCTATTAGCCACTCTTCCAAGAAAATACGAATCAAAAAGTAAACAGTTACTCCACACTGAGTTTGAGAAACTCACAACCAGGAACCCTGCACACTCTCCTTTTCATTGGTGTTTTCAGACTGGGGTGTGTACACATGTACTCACAAACACACCCATTTAGAGTTGGAAAGACTGGAAGAGGGGAATACATGGACCCTGAACTGTTTTCTTCTAATTGCTAGATATGAAGAAATCTCAGGACGCCACTTTCGAGTGTACCTTTCCCTTCTCCCCATAGGGTCAGCCTACGCATGAGGGCAGGCTGCCAATCTAACAGGACAGTCAAGTTCCATGCAATATCTCCTGATGCAAGGAATTCTGGTTTCCCCAAAACACTGATGGTTTTCTGGCAACAGAGAGCAATGACCCTTTGAGATAAAGACTGCCCCAATTTTTCCAGTTCCAGAATCCCTTTTGGGTAGTCCTGTGAAGACTGATGTGTGAATGCTCTTGGGGTTTCTGAATTCTGTACTCTTGCATTTTTTTAACAATTGTACCTGAAATTATCTGCATATTCTCCAATTTTTCATCATTTTTTAGATGAAAACTTGAAGATTATTTCTTCCTCACATTACATTAGTCTTTTCACAGACTCTGAAAGTGGAGTCAAACAACTGCCACATAAAAAAAGAGATGCACCTTAAATTATCACTTTCTGCAATTTCCTTTCTTGAAAGGATGGAAAAACACATCTGAATAAAGGTGTAGAAATGTATTTTATTTCCCCCAATAAATTCATCTCCATTATGACTAGGTATAGAATGGTATATACAAATGATGAGGGTTTTTAAATTTAGTTCACCCCATAAAGCTCACAAAATGGAACTATTAAATTCTTTCCTTTAGATGATTTGGAAAATGGGCCTTCTTTTTTTAATTTTATTTATTTTTGTGTGATATCGTCAAATCGGATCTGACTGGTACAGGAGGAAATTATTCCTCCTTCTCCAGCAGAACATCTGGTGGATTCAAGAAAAAAATGGGCCTTTTATTTCACTCTCATGAATATTTGTCTTACAGCTGAAGTCCATCTATAACTACTGAGTGTGCAAATGGCAGTAACCATTCCATATAGGAAATAAGCATGGCGAAGTAATGGTCTTTTCTCTGGTGCAAAAACGAAGCCACAGAAGACAACAGAGCTGAAAACAACAAAAATTTATTATCTTATGCCCTGCCTCGATTTGACTACCTCCCCAGAACTCATTGCATATGGCTCAATGCCGAAGAAGATTTTGACCCTGTGCCCAATTCCTTTCAAATGACTTAAAATATCATAGTTATTTTACTATCATGTACTAGGTAATTCCCAGTACAAGAATTTAAAAAATGCTATGCTGTATTATTCTAATTCTATAAAGTATGAAGTAACTTACTGTTCACCTGAGATTTATTATGCAATTTAAACAATAAAATAAAAAGTTTTAAAGAAAATCATACCAGGCACATTTTGGCAGTTAGTATTACAAGATATTTCCTTCCAAGGTCTAAGAAGACAATGAGTATACAAAGACCTATATACAAATTAAAGACTTCCATTGGTGGGTTTTGGGAGGGTTTTTTTGTCAGAAAAATTTATATTTAGCCAGCTAATTTAGATGATCCCAATTTTGTTGGCCACATCCAAAGCATCATAATCAGGAGCAAGTCGAACATAGGACTTCTTCTCTCCATCAGACCTAATCAAAGTGTTGACCTTGGCCACATCAATGTCATAGAGCTTCTTTACAGCTTGTTTAATTTGGTGCTTGTTGGCCTTGACATCCACAATGAACACAAGTGTGTTGTTATCTTCTATCTTTTTCATAGCTGACTCTGGTCAGGGGAAATGTGATGATGGCATAGTGGTCAAGCTTGTTTCTCCTGTAGGCACTCTTCGGGGGTATTTGGGGTGCCTTCAGAGTCTCAGCGTCTTAGACTGCCAAAAGGCGGGTAATGTGCAAATTTTTTTTTTTACTTGTGGATGCCCTTCAGGACTGCCTTCTTGGCCTTTAATACTTTTGCTTTGGCTCCAGATTTCGGAAGGGCAGGGGCTTCCTTCTTCTCTTCTGGCGCCATCTTCGTAGAAAGGGCAGCCTTCCATTCATTTTGACAGCTGACATCTAATCAGTTTTTCTTCTCACCTGACAATTTTTGAGGAGTGTCTCATGGTGGATTAATCTTCTGCTCTGTCTTGTGAGACTGGCCTGGAAGTGGCCTTTGTCACCTCCCCTTATCAATTACTCTCCAGGATGCCTCTCAGAGATACTTGGAGAGATGGTGGTTTGACCTGCACTAAGCAGGCAGAGAAGAACATTTATGGTTTTCCAACCACTCCTTAATCAACCGGTGAGCAATGGCTAACCTGGGAGGCAGCCAGAATGGGAAGGATCCATCCTTTTGTTGGGAGTATGGTCCTTTTCTCCTCAGGGCTGTGGCCACTTCATCATGACTGAACCAGGAAGCTGCCTCCAGTTCTCTAGAATTTACCTGGATCTCAAAGATAAAAAGAACAGGATGTTAAGTTAGAAGCTACCAAAGTTAGACTATTATGGCCAAATGCAAAAAACAAAAAACCCAAACACAACAATGAAAAGGTTCCAGAACCTAGGGTCCACTGGTGAGGAGAAAATCAGTCTTAGAACTTTCCCAGGAGCAAAAGAGACATAACAATTGAGAGTTAAATATTAAAAAATTTTAAGGGAGCCCTGGTGGCCTAGTGGCAAGAAACTATGCTGAAATCCCAAAGGCATGTGGTTCGAATCCACCAGATGGTCTGCTGGAGAAGGAGGGGCAATCTCCTCCTGTGCCAGTCACATGCAATTCAATGGTACACAACAAGAAAAAAGAGAAAGGAAAAACAATTACAAGATTTTAAAGGTAAAATACATTAAAATATTCAGAAAGAGTGATTGTCATTGAAGGATAAATTATGACTATATTTACTATTTGTGCTTCTATTGATGGTATAGCTTTTAATAAAGAATGTACAAACACTGCTCTTTTTTAAACGCAAAGGACTAATGACAATATCTTCTTTGCAAGAAGTAAAGTAATACAAGTTGCATCCCAGGAAGCAGAGACTGATGAGAGAGAATTCCTACAGAAACTGAAGGGCCCAGTAGGCAGATTTTGAACCTCTCTCAGGAATGCCGCAGAAAAGCAAGTGAGATTTTTTTTAAAGGAAAAAGAACAAAAAAGCAAGTGAGAATTGGTAAGACAAATCTAAGTCCACCTAGATCAACCAGAAATTCCTATGATTTTTCATCATTCATCTCCAACATCCTGACTGACTTGAGCAATAAGGCCAAACTTTAAATCAATCATCAAATTTGCTATATTGTTGAACCTCAGTATTCAAAGAGGATTCATTCTAGGATCACTGAAGATCAAAAAACCCACAAATGCTCAAGTCCCTTTTATATAATGATGCAGTATTTACATACGACTGCATACATTCTTGTATACTGTAAATCATTCAAGTTTCATTACTGTTATGGGCTGTCAACTATCACAGCGATTCTATGAACAATGGCTCTTAATGTTTTTAAATAGCACTTTATGTCTCTCAGCCCCCAAATATCTTTTTATTAGTAGTTGGTTGAATTCAAGGAATAGAACCTATAGAATAGCTGACTACTGCAGACCTTCTAGTATATGCAACACATAGCAGTCTGCAGTCAGAGAAAAATTTACCAAGGAACGATAATGTCGGTTTGAGGATTAAGGTGCACCTGATTCAGGTTATGGTCTTTTCAATCACTTATTATGCATCTAAGAGCTGGATAATGATGACAGAAGAACTGATGCCTTTCAACTGCAGTGTTGGAGATTACGAAATATCCCATGGGCTGCCAAGAGAACAAACAGATACGTCTAGGAGAAAGTTCAGTCAGAGAGCCCCTTGGAAGCAAATATAAGGAAGCTTCATCTCACATGCTTTGGGAAAATTGCTAGAAGAGACTATTCCTTGGAGAAGGACATCATGCTTGGAAAGGTGGAGGGATAATGAAAGACAGGAAGAGCCTCAACAAAATTAACTGACACAGTGACTGCAGCAATGGGCTCACATATGCCAAAGAATGTAAGGATGACACAGGAGAGGACAGGGTTCAGATCTATTGTTCATATGGTCACTATGAGTCGTACTCAAATCAATGGCATAACAACAATAATTATATACAAAGGATGCTCTGCTCTTGTGGCTAAGTGGCAAGGAGTTGCATTACTAACCCAAAGGTACCCTGTTTAACTACACTAGCTGTTCTGTGGGGGGAAAAATGGATAATCTCCTCCCACGGGATTTACTACTTCCAAAAACCTGCTGGAGGGTCAGCTTTGAGTATTACTTGATGGTATATAAAAACAACAAGTATATGCATGACACTCTGTTAAATCCTGATAATGAAAGATGAATGGTCTCATAAACTGAGATATGTACAAGGGGGAAGTCTGGTCATATTGGCCAACTCAGTAGTGATTATTTATTTATGTCCTTTGTTGTTATATACCTGAGTAGGAACTGAACCACTTCTTGCCTGGTGGTAAGAAGCTGTGCTGCAATTCCAAAAGCAACTGGTTCAAATCCAACAGCTGCTCTGACATAGGAGGATGGGCAATACCCTGCTGTGCGATTTGCTGCCTCTGAAAACCCTCTGGAGGATCACTACGGGTCAGTTCTGACTTGATGGCAAACAACAACAAAACAAACAGCACCAGAGGATATGCCCATCATTTTCCTGTGGAGCAGCTGGTGGATTCAAATTGCTTACTTCTGCTTGGCAGTGCAATTTCTTACCACTAAACCACTAGAGCTCCCTCGTTTTTCCTTTACTAGACTGCAAATTCCTTGAGAGTAAAAATCATACACTTTACAGTTTTGTGTAATCTAGTGAATGAGTGAGACAGTGCTGAGCTAGACAAGAACCAGCTGGCTAGCAGAACAGATTATGTGCTGTCGAGTCACCTGAGAATCACAGCAACGTTATGTTCTTGTTCAGAACTCTGACCTATCCTGAGCCAGTCTCACTGTCTCTTCTAAACTACTCCTATGAGAACAGATTAAGCAAAGGAAATGTCATAGTATAAAGGAAGTATAAGAATTTACCTCTGTCTGCCCTGGTTTCACAGTTGCATGACAAGCAATCATGAGTGAACTATTGGGAAAGGGCCAGTGCTGGGACGCAGAATACTGCAGTCTTTCCACCTCCAATCCCACCTCTTCTGCAACTTCTCGCCGGACAGCTTCTTCCAGAGTTTCACCTGTAAACACTCAGATTAATTCAGGATAGTCCTGCAGTGGGAAGGGTGATACATATATGGCTATTTGTGAGGGAGCACATAGCTGGCTCCAAAGTTTCAATGAAATGCTCTGGGGAGCCCCCTAAGTCTCTGAGCCTCTACAACAATAGGGATCAGCTCTGAAGGGGGCTGTGGAACTTCTGTGCTTACACCCACTAGGTTTGTTATGATACAAAGCAGGAGTGACAGTTCTAAAGGAGCTCTGGTGGTCTAGTGGTAAGGAATCATGATATCAACCTAAAGGGGCACGATTCAAATCTACCAGCTGCTCTGTGGGAGAAAGACACTCTCCTCCCATGCGATCTACTGCCTCTGAAAACCCACTGGTGGTCAATTATGCGTCAGCTCTGACTTGGTGGTACTCAACATCAGGAAAGAGGGGGAGGGAAATGGAGAAACTACGAGTGGGCAGAGTCCCTCTGGAATGATGAAAATGTTCAATTTAAATTTATTAAAGAATTAAGGAAAAATGTTCTAATGCCACATTTTATCATATACAAATTTTACCCCAAAGATCAAACAAAAAAATGCTACTACTGTGCAGGAATATGAAATTCTAGTGTTACTGTTATGCATGCCAACACATTTTGGTAGAAATGTACTAATAGGTGTAGCCTAAACATCAAAAAAAATAACATACACTAATGGATGGAGTGCTCACCAAGTTGTGCCAAGAAATCTGGAGAATAACCACTTGGCCAACTGACTGGAAGGGATCTATATTTGTTCCCATTCCAAAGAAAGGTGACCCAACTGAGTGTGGAAACTACAGAACAGTGTCATTGATTTCACATGCAAGCAAGATTCTACTGAAGATTATGCAAAACCGATTAGAACAGCACATC